GGACAGGCAGAGCAGGGATCAAGAGCAGAGAGGGTCACCCCCCATGGCCCCCTCCCCCTGCCTCCCCCTTACTTACCGGCACTGGAGCCCGGGCAAGGGGCCAATCACAGAGACACTCCGGTTGCCTCAGCTTTTTTAAACTTTGGTTTTTTTAGACCCCTGGATATCCAGAGGTCTAATTTTCTCCCTGTGCTGCATGTTTGCAGTGTGGGGAACATTTTTTCATTCCCTTATGTGCCTCTTGCCCCATCTCAAAGGGGTTTGAGATGGGGCAAGAGGCACGTGCACACTGTCTGGACGTGCCCATAATGTCCAAAAGTTCCTTTTGTGTTATCAGATTATGATGGGCAAGATTATTTTAACCTTCCTCATATATTTACTGGTATTATCATCATATAATCTCATTCATGTCAGTGAAACTATTTCTAAAGTAGTACAATGATACATATAAGAGAGTAATACTTTAATGGATTTTGTTTAAATGGATGTCAAAATAGTAAAAAATTTGCAAAAGGATTGAAGGGATGGCTCATAAGAAGTTTCATAAATTATCATTAAATGCATACCCCAAGCCAAGCTAAATGCAGTATTTGAAATGGTTATAATTTAAGGTCTAAAACTTCTTCAGAGGGGGCGCGGAATGTCATTTCCAATGTTTTCAACATTTGTTGTTATTTTTGGCAAAGCTTGTGGTAACAACATTGTCTCATAAAATATCGGCTGGTGAATCCTAACACTATTTCAGTTTTTGGTTGCTTTTTTGGGGGGTTTTCTGTACTCAATAAGAAAGTCTTTTTGAACTAAACGAACCGTTTTATATTTCTAGACTAAACTCAGGGATATTTCTAGAAAAATTTAAAATCTTGGAGCATGAGTAACATTCTTAATGTTCTATGTTTGGAAAAATCTGTTTACTTGTTTCAGAAATTGCTACAAACTTAAATTTAGATTCACCAACAGAGCTTAAAAGTTTCCATTATCAATTTTTATTCAGAAGAGGAAAGGAAATAGATGGACATCGTGGAACTGATTTTATATATATAATTGGAATATTTAATATATATGTAAAATATGTTCCAATTGTATATAAAATATATTTTATATATATTTATAATATATATTTAATATATTTAAAATATGTATAATACATATTCCTTTCTTATACTACTCCTTAATTGTGTTGAGTTATCTCTAACATTTAGTATCTCAGAGCCGGTGTAATTAAAGCTCCTCACTGCCCACTCCCATAGTACATGTTTAAATGCCCAAGAATTCCCAGTTAAATAAAATCATCGTCTGTTAATCTGTGACTTTTGGTTGCTTCATGACCCAGATACATTAAAAGGGACGTGTATTTTTTTGTGTGAAAGTATTGCATAGAGTGTTTCTAATCGTGCATTCTGAGACAAAAACGAAGTTGTTATTAAGGGCAAAAGTTCTCATGTCAGCAACTTAAGGTAAAAATGCCTCATAAATTATGGTGATTAAAAAAAAAAAGGTATGCAGCCATAAAACTGGGTTAAATATAAGCTTAACATTGACCAAAGCATTATAAAGTTTGAAAAAGCTAATTTATAAATACGAAAACAATCTTCAGTCTGCCAGTGAATGGTACTCTCCTTCTTCTTTGTTGCCCTTTACTCAGATGAGTCCTATATGGATCAAGATTTTTTCTTAACAGCCTGATTTTTCTGGACCGGCTCATCACCAGATTATCTGCTATTTTCACATGGATCTCTCTCCACTTCCACTAGTGGAACAGTTCCATCCAAGTGTTGAGGGTGTTCAGCCAAGATGGGAGACAGATTCCCTGATCTAAATGAAGCCTGCAAGCACAGATTTATCCTGGTGTTCCTTGTCTTACAGTGATGTAAGGAAGGAGCGGACACACAACAGACAGGTCTATGCCACTATAAAGTACTAGAATTTCACTGGGAAACACTAGGGATAAAATTACACCACTTTAACTTATACCAGTGTACATGTTGTATGCAAACAAGCAGTAGCCAGCTCTTCACTCACAGATTAGTGAGGTCCTATATTTGTGCCTGTTGCAGCAGCCACTTGGGAAGAACTGGTTAGTTGTCTTCTGTGGATACTATGGAAAGTTACATTGATATACAAAATTGATATAAACTACAGTAGTATTAATAAATCTCTGTCCAGGCCTTCAGACAGAGTGGGAGTTTGAGCCAAAGTGCCTTACACCCTCACTATACGTCCTAGCTACTAGCCTATTACTTATTTTGGGAAAGGGATTAATCTGGTTTTCCAAACCAGTAATACTTCCCACAAACATTTTTAGTTTCAAGAATGATACTTTCTGATGGAAAAAATATATCTTTGAAGAATTCCTCATCTGTAACGTGAGGAGAATTGCACAGATTTCACAAATACTGTCCATTTATCTTTTAATATTCAATTTATCTCATCAGCAAGGTAGATTTTCTCTAATAATTATGTACAATGCATGATGCAAGCTATGGTAAGCAAAACCACTTAATTTAGGAGGTTGCTACCGAGAAGAACTTGATTGTTATAGGAGGGTGCAGCTCACTCTGCTGTCTGAATGTTGTCACTCCAATGGAAAAGTGAAGGTGTTTTGGTGTAAAAAATGACAGATATACACATGTGAAGTATATTTAAATTTCATAGGGGGAACAGTGTTTTGGTTGTTTTGGTTGTAAATGACAAAGTGGTGAATACTGACTGCTTGAGTTTCAAAAACCAAAGAGCCCTCAGCTCTCCCAATAAACAGTCATCAACAACCACTGTAACAACTGGCACTCAGACTGGTTTCCCAGTGGATTTTGTCTATTTTTCCGGTCAGGTTAATGTTTCTATGATGCTGCTTTTCTCCAACGCCAGTATGGCAAAGCCATAAATTAATCCTTTAATGTGTTAACCTCTATTTGGTATCAGAATACAGAGAAAATATATGACCATAAATTATTCTTATATTAATCTTTAAATGCCCTCCTTTCATAATGTGGTGCATTTTAGGTTATTAGGTACACTTTTAGAGCTCTCCTTTAATATACAATATGTTTAATTTAGCATGTATTTGCTGAATTCTTAGACTGAAAGTTAAGAAAGTGGGAGACCTCCCTTCAATCTGTTGTTTCTCATTCTGCATAGGTTTTCATTTCTTCCTGGTTTCCTGAGTCCATGTTGTGCTTTCCATTGGTTCACTGCTCCTTTTATCTGACTTCACTGGGGGCAGGATGAAGACCTTGACTCACACTCTTGAAAATAAATGATGCAAGAAAAATTGATAACCTTGTACTGGCTACAGGGGAAAGGACTACCAAGAGTAGTAGGGCCAATAACAAGCTCATGATCCCTGCTAAATTTACTCTCAAGCTTGTCTTGTGCTAGTTTAATGCATTTTAGTAATTTAATGTGTTTCCATTATGAAAGCCTCTCTGTTAAGTAAAGCAAAGAATAATCTAGAAATTCTCACACTAGATAGCAGTAATCAGGTAGGGAACCAGACAGAAAAAATACCATAGTTACAGCAGGTCAAATACTTCCTGTACTTGAAAAGTTAAGCCTTGCACACTGTCCTTTAAAGTAATCACCCAAGGTTAAGATAAAATACTAGGAGAAGTAAGTTCTGAACCCTTCAACTTCAAAATTCAAGTATGGAGATAGTTGACAGGAGTGTTTTAGATTATATCAACCGTGGCTCTTTTATAAGTAAAAGGGTAGCTGTTTTGTTCTTCTGTACTGTCCACTTCTGTTCCAAAAGTTGTAAAGCTATTTCCTCTTAAGCTATTATCTCTTCATCCAGAAACATTAATTTTATGTTAAATCATACAATAGCCCTTCAGAAGTTAATGTAGATCCTTAGAGGTCAACAGATAAGTGTAGAAGAACGAACCAGTTTTTAAGGTAGTATTCTCATGCTGTAGTTATCAAATTTGCATGCTCCTTTAAAGAAGATAGACAGATAGGTAATTATGCATAGTTTCTATTTAATCAGTTTCATTCTCAGTAAACACAGGAAAGTGCCAGCATTTCCAGACCCAAACATTCCCATTCACTCATCACATGTTGAGTACATGGCCACTGGCCAGGTCACCTTTGTATCTTTCCAGGGTTCATGTTAAGGTCTAAATTGTGTTTGTTCCCATTGTGTTTCCAAGGAAACTGAAAGAGTGCAGGATGGCTGCAGGGTATGAAACAGCTGGGAATATCATGTTAGGTGGCAGAGTACATTGTTGTGTCTCTCCCCCCCCCCCCCC